AAATTTTCCATAGTGATACAACTGCATAGGTTTTTGAACGGCGTTCCGACAGCCTTGACGCGAATCTAAATTCTTACACTTTGTATCAATGTATTCGCACAATGTTGTAGTCCTCACTTAGCCAGAGAGCGAACTGGTGGAAATATGGAGTCGTCGTGAACGAAATTTTGCCACCAAGCCAAGGATATGAGCAACAAACACCATGGAATTGCCACAGAATGCTTTTCCAAACTTGGAATGAACATCTGAGAAGAGTCAAAAATTTACAAGCGAAGGAATTATCGAGGAAGGATGAAATCCTCACTGGAAAGGCCCAAAAGCCAGAACTTTGTGCAGCAATAGCTCCGATATCCACGATGACCAGTACGAAGGCAACTCGGCTAGGGCGGCGACTGAGAAGAGACAGAATCGCCGGAACGAAACACATCGCATTTGTCAGTTCCGTAGCTAAATGAAAATGTAAACATGCATGAAAATGGAGGAAATATACTGTATATTTACCTGTTACAGCATCCAAGTCAGGAAAAATTCGAAAAACGAGAATTCCAACGCCAATGGCATGCAATGTTTCGATGATTAACACCTATTATAGATAGAAGAATGGTTTCAATGCAAAACGACAAACACTTCTAGAAAATCTTACCACAACGAACTGTACAAGAGTAGGGCGTTTTACATTTTTAAAAAGAGTTCTGTGTAAAGATCGGATAAAACAGAACGCTTCTGGAGCTGAGAGCGCCAAAAACGTCGCCCATACCCATTTGACCACTAACCGATTGGTAATATACACAGTATTGAGTTGCGATTCTGAAATTTTTAATTTTTTTCGCAAAATTTTGAGATCTCAGCATAATATCCTCTGGCAGGAACATACCAGGGATTTTATCCCTACAAATTGTCATATTTTGACCACCCCATCCAATTGCTGAAGTCATAAGAAGAAAAGAACTCTGAAAATATTTCCAATCAGCTAAGGATACATCCACATCTCTTTCTGATGAGCTCTTACTTTGGCAACAACCGCTGAGCTGAGTGTGAGAACGAATAACACAACAAACGTAGCCAATTTGAGCACTTGTAAGCTGGCATCGTGCCAGAAACCTGCAAAGATGCATTTTACTGTGGTTTATATTTGTCTAAGGCGCACTGTTCTTTGTTTGTGATACTCTGACTTGCATTTGTTTTACAAAAGAGAGCAGACGAATAGCTGACAGAGTGCGACACGTAATTCTTTTAGTA